AGGTGGTCTCAGAGTAGGGGTCCCCTCATACCTTCCCGGAAAGTGTGTGTTTGCTTATGTGATTAATAGGCTAATTCTCTGGCTGATGTGTATTTAGACAAGGACCTTTTGGGGCTAATGCAACAAGCTCCCTGAGAACTTTGCAAACTTCCAACAGTGGGCAGTGTCCAGGTGGTGTTCTGTGGAAAGTGATCGGGGCTTAGGCGAGAGCCAGGGTCTGACCAAGATCCTGGGGGAGGTGGGTTCTGAGGACACACACCCCGTTGACACTGGAAGGGCTCGGAGCTCAGCTGCAGAGGCAGATTACAAAGAGCTGAAGATGTGCTGGCACAGCTGGTAGGGACCAGGACCACACTTTCCGCCTGTCTCTTGCAGCTCACAGGTCAGTCAGTTTACTTTGGGAAACAATCACAGTCATGAACCAAACCAAAATGCCATTTTCCTCTCAGGTACATTACTGTGATTAATGGGAGGGACCCTCAGGGAGGGCTAGTAAGGAAGCAACTGTTCCCCAACTTCCCAGCATTTGCTCAGCCCTGTGGGTCCAGCAATTCTACGTGGCTAGTGTCTCCTTGTGGGCAAGGCAAGGGAGAAGTGCCTTGCCTTTTCTTAGAAAGGGAAATCGTGCCAGCCTGTGGTGTGGTGAAGTGGCAGGATCCCACATGGCCGACAGTGTGGGAGTCCCAGATTGGCTTGAGAAACACACTGGGCACATGCGTGTCTGCCTAAATACAGAAAGGAGGGCGAGGTGGAGAAGGGATTGCTAATCACCATTCTTTGGAGGAGGGAGCTTCCTCACTTTCCCTCTTTCTCTCCAGTAAGCGCACATCCCCTCTGGCAATATTAAAAAGAGAGGAAGGCAAATGGCTATTTCTGCTGCCAGCTGGCCCCAGTTGGCAGCTAGATTCAAATAAGATTGAGGGTCAGCTCAAGGTCGTCTGCCTGAACTACCAAGCTCTGCAATTCTTTGTCCGTAATGGAGCAAGTCACTTTCACCCGTGCTGAGGTTGAGGCAAACTGCAGTCCCTCCGCTCCTGTGTAGAGTGAGCTCAGAGCAGTGACTTTGGCTGTACCAAGCTTGCCAGCTCACTGCTCCGGGGGGCCCAGTGGCCTCGTACCACCAACTAACATGGGCTATGGGCTTCCTATTCTTTAAATTGCAAAATAAACAGATATGTAGGACCCCCGCCCCCCAGGGAGGTTTTGTGTGTGTACCTAAGAATATTTCTCTCATTCAAAAAGGTGGGAGGATATGGGGCCAGCAGGTGGCATGGACCTTAGATGTTGGGCTTTCATAGGGCTAATCAGGGTTTGAGTCCTGGGCCTGGCAGCTTGGAAATCACACCTGGGAGTGTGTACATGCCCAAAAGTCCCTAGAGGAGAACAGAGAAGGGGTGATGGCATGGGCCTGGCACCTGTGGGGGGTGATTTCGCACTTTCCCTCTCTGTTGTTCTCTGGCAAGTGCATGTGCCCTAAGAAATAAAAAGGCAGTGGGTATGGGGAAGGGATTAAAAAAGATTTATCTCCTTGGCTTCCAACTTGGTCTCCTTTGCCTTCTGAAATGTGCCCTCAGAGATGAGAACTAGGGGAAGAAAACAAAGCCTTAAGAGCCCACAAGATAAGCCTTTTGACAGTGTTACACAGTCTTTTGATACTTATTTAGCAGTTGTTTCAAGAGGCAGAACCCACTTCAGTGACAACTTCCTTATTATCTCGGAGTCTTTTTGGCCTTCTGGAGCTTGTTGAGGCTTATCTTTATTCTTTGCCCTCTGGTGACTGCTGCTCACGAAGTTTACTGAAGATGGGCAGAAAATGAGGACCTGATATCAAGTCCTATGAAGTCTGTTTAGATTTAAATCTGAGTATAGGAACCCGCAGGTTGTGAGGTGGTTAAGGTGCTCTACTCCCACATGACTGACGGCAACTCGAGTCCCAGACCTGTTGGTTTGAAAACCACACCAGGCATGTGTGTGTGCATGCCCAGAGTCCTGGGAGTAAAGTGGAGGAGAGGGGATTCTCTGGGAGAAAAATGGAGGAGAGGGGATTGGAGCGTTGGCATCCCCCATGAGGGGGTGATTTCTCATTTTCCTTCTGTCTCTTTCTCTAGTGAGTGCACATGCCCTGTGACAAAAACCTAAAATAAACCCCCAAAACACCTGAGTATTGGAGCAGCAGTTTGTAGCTGGGACTCACGCTGTAGCCTGCCACCCAGTCTGATCTTAATATGACAGCATTGCGACTCAGCAGTAACTTGTGTGGCATTGAAAGCCAATAACAAACCACCTTGGAGGTGGAGGGGGGGGGCGGTGCTGTCCCTTTAAATAAGGGCGATACAGTAATGCAGTGTTAGCTATTCAGTGTGATTTCTTCTGATTAGCCTCTGGTAATGATAAAGGTCTAACCGAAGAGTTTTTCTGTTTTGGGTTGTGGGGGGCAATCTTTCTGTGAATGAAGTCCATAGTGGTCACCCTTTATTTGCTATTTCATTTTCTGTGGTTTGTTACCTGCAGTTGACTGTGGTCTAAAAAATAGATGAATGTGGTACACGAAGACACCGGGAAGAGAGACAGGGTGGGGTGGGGTGGCCACAGTCACATAACTTTTGTTAAAGTGTATTGTTCTCATTTTATTACTGCTGCTAAGCTCCTACATCTAATCTATAAATAAAATTTGATCATAGGTATGTCTGTGCAGGAAAACCCATAGCATAGTTAGAGCTCAGTATTGCCTATGGGCTCAGACATCCACCGAGAGAGTGTCTTGGGACATACAAGATTAGAGTGAACTGCTGTGCTGCAGAATCCCAGGGATCTGGACTAAAGAATCCCATACCAATCTTACAAAGACGTTTAAATATCCTTC